AAAAATGCAGCTATTCTATTCAAAGTTTGTGATGGTTTTGTTGCATCTTGCTTGTGCTGCTTACCAAGCTTGAAATGTATTATACAGTATTCTTATGTAWATGTTATCACATAAGAAAATATGCTGGAAAAACAACCAGTTAGGCCTAGGGTAAATGTCAAACTTTCCATGCACTGAACTTAATTACATCAAAGAATGCCGCCTCATTATCACCTGATATCCATTGTTTTTAATGAGTTCGGKGCATGGAAAGTTCGACGTTTGCCCTAGGCCTTAAAGTTTGGAAAATATCACCTTATGGTTGGTTGCATTCGCATTACCAATAGTGCATTTCGGGCTTGGTATGCAACATGACACAAAAACCTTAACAACCTTTTTGAAAAAGCTGTAAAGAAGGATTACTAAATTCTAACTAGAGTATCAAAACCAATTGCCCTATTTCACCATAACGTCACATCAAAACAATCTATTTGTTTAAGCGCAAAGGAACATGGTCATCGGAGGGAGTCAAATCAACGCAAATTCACCGAAAATTTTTCTAAAACCTGTATCAATCCACAAAGAGAAGTAGAATAGCCAGCTAACGCTCAGAATATTTTTTAGTACATATTAACACCTATTATATCTGAAAACCAGGCCATTTTAGATTGAACTGTTTCGCTGAGCAAATTTTGTTGAATTTTCTATTGGATTTGGCGCTTCTATCCCCCACATAAACAAGCAGTGATGTCATAGTGAAATAGGGCAATTATTCTTTCTTAACTGTGCAAGAAATTGTTGCAGTGAGATTATTTTTCAAGCTAACGATACAATTATTTTTTGAAAGCTTTCATTTTTGAGCTTTCAGAGAAAGATTCAATTAGAGGTGGTAAAAAAATTCCTAACCCAGTAAACGTTTCTATGTCAGGACCATTTCAAATACTTCTCATCTAGATTATTCATACTTCCCAATTGTTTCTTTAAGTGCTAGTGCACTTAAACATCTTATTACACATGGCCCAAAGGTGTAAGGTCAAAGATTGTATTGAAGATGTCTGAGCTTAGCAAGTTTCCAATAACACTCACCTAGATTATTCACACTTTCAAATGTTTCTTGAATTGGCTCCAACACTTAAATGCCTTCCATATGCAGTACAAGAGTACAGTATAAAGCTTTCTGTGCATGGCAAGGCTATTGGGACCACAGTTCAATTCACATAAATGACTTGTCTAGATTATTCACACTTTCTAAATGTTTCTTTAAGTGGATTCCACGCTTAAACCCCTTTATACACATGGTACAAAGGTAAGGTCAAAGGCTTGCATTGAAGATTTTTGAGCTTAGCAAGGCTACTGGAATTACAGTTCAATTTACATGAATGACTCGTCTAGATTGTGTACACTTTCTAAATGTTTCTTCAAGTGGCTTCCGCGCTTAAATGCCTTTTTACACATGGTACAAGGGTAAGGCCTAAGACCTGTATGAAGTTTTCTGTGCTTGGCAAGGCTGCTTGGATCTTTGAAGGACAGAGAACACTCATTACAAATGTATGGTCTCRCATCTGAGTGAATTCTCAAGTGGTTGTGCAAGTTCCCACGCTGGGCAAACCTTTTTTTACAGTGAGAGCATTCAAATGGCTTTTCTCCACTATGTATCCTTTTGTGTTTGGCCAGGTATTGTGAATGCGCAAAAGTGTGATGACAAATTTGGCACTCRAATGGCTTTTCACCGGTATGAGTACGGCGATGATTCTTCAAATGGTTAAGCTGTGAAAAGGCTTTTTCGCAGTCCTCACACTTGTATGGCTTTTCTCCAGAGTGTGTTCTTTGATGCTTTGTGAGATCACTCTTTGAAGAGAACAATTTTGAGCATTTAGGACACATATATGGCTTTTCACCACTATGRACCCTCATGTGCATTGTCAAACATGTGCGACGTGAAAATGTCTTTTCGCATTCACTGCACGAGAATGGCTTTTCCCCAGAATGTGTACGCAGATGTACCACAAGATGCCAAGATTTCCTGAAAGTCTTTTCACAAATTTTGCATTTGAATGGCTTTTCCCCGGTATGCACACGCATATGGGTTTTCAAATTCCCTGACAGGGCAAATTTCTTGCCGCATTCCTTGCAGCTGTATGGCTTTTCTCCAGTATGTGARCGAAAATGCTTCTGCAAGTCGCCTGCTTCAAAAAACCCTTTATCGCACTGAGAACACTTGAATGGCTTTTTGGTTGAATGTCTGCGACGATGAACACAGAGTGAGCCAGAATTCGAGAAAATCTTATCACACTCTTCRCATTTGAACTTTTTGATCTTATTCTTATGTCCTGTACTCTCCTCCTCCTCCTCTTCTTTAGAGCATGAAACTGCTTTTCCCACAAGACAATTTTCTGGATTCATTTGACCATCTTTAGCCGATTGGTGGTGGTTTTGGTGATAATTCAGAGCTGTACGATGTGYAAATGTCCTTTCACATTGATTACATCTGAGTTTTATTCCCTTGTGGCACTCTTGATGACTCGCATAATCAGTTTCCGTAGTGAATTCCTTGGCACAATGTGTACAAATCAAATCGTTTCCATTTTTATGCTCTTGAACATTATCACTTAAGAGTCCTTTATCTTTGATTATGTTTCTATCCTTGTGAATATTTTTGTGTTTTGCGAGAAATACAGCTGAGGTGAATGAGAGACAACATTTATCGCACTGAAAGTTCTTGGAATGAAATGTCTGGTGTTCGGCCAATYTGTCTTTACTAATAAATATTGTTCCACATTTACCACACTTCAAACCCTTTTTCTTCCTTGCCTTTTTTATATCACTTGAACCACTGTCTTGTAACTGTGCACTGCATAACTCTGCATCTGCCTTCATCTCTTCGGTAATACTATTCGGACACTCTTGTCTAGTTAGTTTAAGTTCAGGAATTTGTCCACAATTATTTGAATTGATATCAATCCTTGGTATTTGTTTGTTTGAGCTTGTATTTTTGTATGAATAGGTTTTAGTAGATTCTTTGTGTTGACTACTYGTGTTGCGTTCTCCATTGTCCATGTGTGTGAGTTGATTGGCTAGTTCATCAGGGTCTGTTGTGTGTACTGTAAGATCATCTGTGRCGATGTGAACTACATGAGGAAAGTGTTCTAAGTCACTTGTAGGATCATGATCATACTGTTCTAATTCTTCAAATGTAATTTCTGTATCAGTTATTACAGACTTTCCATTTTTCTTACCATTAATTTGGGATTGATTATTGTGGGTTTCATTGTCWGCAGACTGTAAAGAAGAAGAGACAATAAATACTATTATTATACATTTTACTAAGTATCTCAATTGTGATTGGTCGAGAACCCTCAGCCAATCCCTGATATCGTGTGAACTYGACATGATAAATGTATTATCTGTAGGTTTTCCTACAGATAATACATTTATCAYGTCAAKTWCATTCAAGGTCACGCTGTGGTAGCTTTGTTYTTATTYATTATGTGTATTTATTTCCAGAATTGTGTACAAAAACAATATTTAAGGAATCCTTAAATTATTTTATGAAGAATTCTTGAAATATTTCAATTCTGAATTAAAAATTTTGCATTTTTCATGCGACATCATGGCGTTCATAATTCTTGTCCCTTTAATTTAATGTTCATGGTAATGTTTTTCCAGTATACAAAATGTACAATAAAGCAATTATTGAATTCTGTTATCGCATAATATCGTAAATAATTATCAAGACCGAGGCTGTGGGCTGTGTTTTCTGTTATAACACAGCCGAGGTCTTGATAATTTACGATATCATGCTCAACCTCATCCAATAATTGCTTATTAAATTATTTCAAAAAAATTCGTAAATTATTCAAAATAATGGGGTCTTCATATTATAATGACCCTTTGCATGTGACGTCAAAGCAGCTCCATCTGAGGGACAAAACAAAAGAATTCCAATCTCCTGATAATTGCCCTATTTCACTATGACGTCCATCAAAACAATCTATTGTTTAAACGCAAAGGATCATGGTCATCGGAGGGGGTGAAATCAACGCAAATTGTTCTAAAACCCGTATCAATCCACGAAGAGAAGTAGAATAGCCAGCAAACGCTCAGAATATTTTTTAGTACATATTAACACATATTATATCTGAAAACCAGGCCATTTTAGATTAAGCTGTTCGCTAGGAGCAAATTTTGTTGAATTTTCTATTGGATTTGGCGATTCTATCCCCCACATAAACAAGCAGTGATGTCATAGTGAAATAGGGCAATAAGCCTTTTCATAGTTTAAGAATCGATTCCACTGCGCATGCGATTTTATCCCGAATTTCTCACCTTCTTTTGTTTAATTAAGAACAAAAGAAGGTCTAGACAAAAGAAGGTGAGAAATTCGGGATAAAAACGCATGCGCAGTGGAATTGATTCTTAAACTACGAAAAGGCTTATTGGAACCTATTGTTTTGTCCTCCAGGATGAGCTGCATTCCGACGTGTATATTCTATTTAGAGAGAGAGTTTATTACCATAATGAGGAAATTATTATATAAAAATTAGAAATTATAATTTAAAAAAAAAAAAAAAAAAAATTATTATAATGGTAAAAGTAAGTCAGGCTAAGCTACTTGCACCAACATACATTCCTTAAGTACGCGTTCACTGTGCATGTTAACGAGCTATGGAACCGTCTTGAAATTATCCTTTGAAGAAYTTGTGAACCAATAAAAAATATACTCACCGAAGAGCTATCCGGCCATTTCCTTTCGCCAGTGATTTTGTTTTGGTAGTAAAGAACTTCGCCAGATTTGGCCTTCTTTGTAATCCATTTGGCATCCATCTAAGTTGTCTTGCTTCAACTACAACAAAATGTAGGGGAAAACTTCGCAAAACTTCAATAATACACATATTTACAACCAGATACAAAAAGATCATCGAAATATAAGCTATAAGGAGTGCAAATTACTCTTAAACAATAAGATTTTAAGAAAATATTTAGTTATAATTAACTTCAGCTTGAGTTACAGAAATTCCAGGACGCGAAGAATGCTTCAAATTTAGACCTCAAATTCATCGACAAAAATAACACTAAGAAACGTTTTACTTACTCTACAGACTTAGAAAGGGTGTGCAGTCTTTGTATTGTGATTGTCGGGCTGGTATATCGATTAAAAGCGTGAAATTTAGGTCCAAATTTAACAAAACTACTTCTTCACTATAAACTAAAGCTGTTACCCAGCGTGCTGTGCTTCGCTATGCACGGGTAATTCTGGGGGCCTGGGAWGAATTCCAGACAAAAATTGTCTTAAATTTATCTTATAAAAAATCATTAAAAAAATATATTTCCTTCCTTAAAAATATAATCTGATTGTCTCTTTTTTGTCGTAAAATTATAAAAATATGACTAAGACTTTTTAAAAGGCAAAAAAGTGAAATTGTGTTTTAATTTCTCTTTACATATATTATTATATGATTTATCCCTAATCATACTTAAGATATTTTAGCCAACAAAAGTGTTTTTATAGAATAAAAGGTATAAATGAATTTTTAAAATAAAAAGTATTTATTAGAGTCTCTATCAATAAATAAATGAATAAAATAAAATAAAATAGAGAAAAGTAACCACAGGCAACCCAAATCGAGAAATCCTTTTTACCAAGAGCCGAGAAGGATTGGGTTCTGTTTCACAAAATGGTGAAATAACTCATGATTTTCTTAAATTTTCTCAATTGTTTTTACCAATTTTGAACCTAATTTCATATTATGGGAAAGAAGAACAAGACTGGAGTTGGTCAGGGTATATTGAAAGCTCGTTCACGTTTGGCTAAAGGTGGAAAACACGGAGAAAGTTGGGTAAGAAGAACGTTTTGTGTCAACACGTGTTTGAAAATCTTCGACTGAAYTGAAATTTGGAGGAGAAAATTGTACTTTAAATGCCTATTAGATTATAATTATTTATCATATATTAAAAACTATTAATAAGGATAGCTTCGTGTTATTATACATCCTGAATTTAGTCCAAAATATAACGCATTACGAAGTCAYTTAAAGTACTAATTCAGAATTAGGAATATTAAGACTAAAAGTTGAAAAAATATTTTGAATATTCTGAATTTAGTCCAAAATCTAACGCATTACAAAGTCATTTAAAGTATTAATTCAGAATTARGAATTAAGACTACAACTTGAAAAAAATATTTTACCCTTAATTTGCATTTTATTTTACTGTAGATTAGAATACTTTTTGTCTTATATTTGATACCATGATCATCATTATTATCATTATTATCCAATTTATTATCCCTTTGATAGCAGTGCCCCTTGGGTATATGAAAGAATTACCCTGCATGAATAAAGGTCTTTATTCATTCGTTTAAATCTAATTAATACTACAGCGACATACCAGTGAGCTAAATGATGCAGAGGACTGGAAAAGGTTGAATATTAGTTCTATTACTGAACAAAGTAATTTAGATGATTTTCTAGCAACAGCTGAGTTAGCAGGGACAGAGTTCACTGCAGGTAAACAATAGTTTAGAAATTTGCTCATTTTTTTTCGCGACGAAGTAGCTTTCAATGGAAGTCAATCAAGGTGTTTCAATGACRTTCTATAGGCACGTGCCCTTATAGCTTTGTGTTTTCGACAATGTTATGGAAATGCCTTGATTGACAGAAAAAATYGCTAGAGGGCGCGTGTGATTGAAAATGGCTTTAGAGGAGTTTATTGTGATTTTCAAAGTTCTGCAAAATCCGTAGTTGCGAGTGTATGATGCAGATGTCAATCAAAATGAATCACTTTTTCTCTTTTATATTCTTGACTGGTGGCATGCAGTAAATTACCTACCTCCTTCCTACCTCCCTACCTACCTACCTACCCACCTACCCACCTGCCCACCTGTCAACCTGCCCATCTACCTACCTATCCACTTGCCCTCCTAGCCCACCTACCTACCYGCCTATCTACCTACTCACCTACCTACATACCCACCTACCCACCTGTCCACCTGCCCACCTACTCCACTATCTAGCTACCTACAAGGGTGGATATCCAGGGCATGAGAAAAATGAAATGGGTATTCTAACTTGGTGGTGTACAGAGGGGTGAGKGTAAAAATAAAATGTCACAGCTTGATAAAATAAGCATTGTTATTTTCTCCTTTATAGAGAAACTGAATGTAACAGTAGTGACTCCCAGTCAAAATGATGGCCTGTTGTCAGCAGAGAAGGCAAAACACATTAATCAAGCACAGGAAGAGAACAAACAACTGCTTAGAATACCTAGACGGTAATATACCATGTACTCTCTGTTATATGTGACAAGAGTTTGAATACATGTATAGTACCCTAATAGGTGCTGCCTACTGCTTCTCATTTTGATGTACTCAGGCTTGGGAGACTGCTTGAGTGATGTAAAATTTATTAGGTATCGTCTTCAGATCATCATCATTCATTATTACCATAAGCATCATCATCGTCATCATCATCATCA